TGACTGGTGCCAGAGATACAGCACTGGGAACAGCTGTAGGGAAAGGCATTTCTTTTATCCTTAAAAGAACTTTCAGCCTGGAGACTCTGATGTTGGAAATGAAAGTTCTAAGCATTGAAAATGATTTTGCCAGAGGACTGACTAGATCTGTGTAATCTACTGTTGCCTACAGTTTTGTTTGAAACAAGAATTCTTGTTGCAAGGGAGAAGGAAGACACTTAAGTGTCAGTGTAGCCTTTTACTAGCAGTACAGTCCTTGCTTGTTACACCAATGGAGCAATTCACATTGTTGAAAGCAAATTTCTAATCATGACCATTGCTTTTTCCTCCTCCTGCCAGGGGCAGGGGAAGTGAGCTCACTGCTTGCAGGGATGTCAGCCTCAGAGAAGGAACAAGAAAGGTGGCAAAGATGCAACAGATGAGGCCTATATAGCTCCCAAAGTAGGGCACCATGTTGCTAGCCTGCAGATCACAGATAAAAACTAAACTGCTTCAAAAAGTATTTATGAGAAAGCCTGTGCCCTCAAGTTCATCAGGTAAAAGCAGTGGCTGTACAAGAAGGATGTACACAAGCTGTCCTGCATACAGATGAGCACTTCAGGTGCCAGAGGCATGGATCTTATATTCTCATTCTGTGTATTGCTTTATGTTTGGAATACTCAAATTGACACTAAATCCCTCTGACCTTTTTTTTTTTTTTTTTTTTTTTTTAATTTGTTTGTTTCAGAGGAAATTTCTGATCTGACCAATCAGATCAGTGAAGGAAACAAGAACCTCCACGAGATAGAAAAAGTCAAGAAGCAGGTAGAACAAGAAAAGTCAGAGGTTCAGCTGGCTCTGGAAGAAGCAGAGGTAAGGAGAGAGAACTCAAAAGATTGACAAATTATTTCTTTATCATGAATTTCCCTCCTTTTTGATCCTCTCAGCTACTCTGCAAATGTGCTAGTAGTAAGTGGAACTGCCCTGCAACCAGCTCCCCTGAGCTTGCTAGCCAGCCATGGGTTTCAAGAGAGACTGGTGTCTTTTGGAGATCTCAGCTCTGAGATCACCAAACGGAGGCTGCTTCAAAGGAAGTGTCTCGTAGGGGTTGTTATTGGGTTTCTTTTTCTTTTTTTTCTTTTTTTCTTTTTTTTTTTTTTTTCTTTCTGGAAGCACAAAAATCCTTTGCTCACCTTCTGAAAAGCCAGCTTAAGAGCATTCCAGCCTTTCAGGAAATTTGGGAATTATGGTTTTACAAAATTTTATCACATATTTCTAGTGCCTAGTTTCCATCAGCAAATTCACCAGTTCCTATCACAGAGCATAAGAAAACAAACCTCCAGATGACATTAAATCTTATGAGGTTTTAAATATTGCTTTAGATTCACTTCGCTTTAAAAAAAAATAAAGTGGTCTCAAGCTTGGAAACAAGACAAAAACAGGCCATCCAGAAAATCTTTTACTCCCATAGGAGTTTGGTAAGACACTTAACATCACTGTGTTTCTTTTTATAGTGACAGGTATGCACGTATCCAATAGGGATGGCCCAACACAGTTTACAGAAACAAACCAACAATGCAGAACAGACTGACTGGAGATTATTCTGATTATTTCCAGGGTTTTCTGGAAGCTTGGTGCATTGCAGAGTTAGGAAGGGGGTGTCGGTGTTGCTGGCTAGAAGCAACACAGCGAGGGGTTGTAGGGGGGAGGGCTGTGTCTCCTTTGAACTGTTCTCTTCACAGCATCTGTTGAAGTGAGCATCATGCAGCAACAGGGATCTGTTAATGTCTTAAATGCTGTGCAACTTCTTTTGTCTATTACAGGATGCTTTACAGATTGCAGGGATTTCACAGCCAAACAAACAGGTCTCACAATCAGAGCAGAGGAAATGGCATGTCTGTCTCCCCCAGCTCTGAGATGTGAAGGGTGATTACATGCTCTATCACTGAGCTTCTCTCACAGGAAAGAATACATCAGTTTTGAGGGATCCGAGGGGCATGCTTTACTTTCATGAACTGTGTGAAATGGTTTCCTGAATCTCTGAAATTGGCAGCTAACTGAAGTAAAGCGATGATGTATTTAATTGTGATAGAAATGTCGTAGTGCAGACTTTCTCCCTCCCTTGTGATTTCGATTTCTGACCCTCGTCATTGGTGTTTCTGTGTACCATTCTCAGTAACACAGAGTGGCTGCTTGGCATGAAGTGGCATGAGAAGTGTCCTGTAGCTGCTGCACAATGGCCAGAGACAATCAAGGATTTTGAACAGCTTTGCTTTTGGGAACCCCATTCTGTTTCCACCATCTCTTGAGGGAAACACAGCAAAGCCAGTGCAATTTTACTCTTCAGAGAGCACTTTCTAGAGATGTGGTGTTCAGTTCCACTTTCCTTCTTCATGTGATGAGAGCAGCAGTGAGTCAGAGTGGCCCTGAACTTGGTTTGTGCATGACCTGAGAGTCAAAGACCTGGTGTTTAACTAGTGGTTGCCACTAGCACAGTTCTTGACTTCTGTGAGTGAGAAAGAACATCAGAACAAGGACAAACTTCCCCTGTTCTGTGATGTTTCCTTCATGTTTACTGGAAATAAGGGGCAGAATAGTTTGTCTCACAGAGCTGATGCCTACTATGTCTTTCCTTAAAGTAACTCCATAACGAGATTGCATATGTGGGAGGTTTTCAACACTCCCTGATTTGGAGAGATCTTGATGAGCTTTAGGTGGACCCCTTCAAGCTCCCAACAACAATCTGGTTTCAGCTTCTCCCTCTCCCTTAGAAGCCAACGCACTTCCTGAGGGTGTCTGCACTGCAGTGCAGGGGAATGCATGTGTTGGTACCAAAACCATGTAGGCAAGGTCTAAGTACTGGTTCTTTGGTGAGCCATGGACTCTTTGAGAATCTGAACCACAGGGAGCTTTCTGCTCCATTTTCCAGCTGCCAGGTTGCATCAAAGGTGAATAAAAGTATTGCTTTGCCAAGTAAGCAGCTCATGTCCCTTGCTTAGAGATAGGGGCAGTGGAGGAACATTGCTACTGGGAGCAGTAAGAAAAGCATGAAGGGATCTCCTTCTGCATCAGCTTGTGATTTGAAAAGAAAGAAAAAGCAACTGCATGCTCATGGTGCTTTCTATTCCAGGGAGCTTTGGAGCATGAAGAGAGCAAGACCCTTCGTTTTCAGCTTGAGCTTTCTCAGCTTAAAGCTGATTTTGAAAGGAAGCTGGCAGAAAAGGATGAAGAAATGGAAAATATAAGGTATATGTTTCTTCTGCTAAAAGGATCAGAAATATTCTCAAGACCCAAGCCAGCCAAATAAACCACAATGAGTTATGCTAGCAAAAGCAGATGCTGGCAGTACCAGTAATTAAGGCAGCTCTGGTTATTGCCCTCTGCCAGAGGGTAGTTCTACCACAAGATCTGTTCTTAGTTCAGATATTCCTGTCAGTCCAGTCTCTGCCAGTGTACATGTAAACCCACCAGACATATCACAAAGCAGCTGCAGGAAAACCAGCTGGAACAGTCATGGGAAGACCATGAGCTCCTATGCCTGTATGTTCACAGCAGGAAACAAGCAGATCTAGTCTACTGCCTTCTCCCAATCCCCTCCTATAAGCTCCTTCCAAAGGGAAGCACAAATCAGCAGAACTGTTGCAGTGGTGCTCAGATTGATGCTAGCTGAAGGCAGTATTTAATTCTGCATCTGATTTATTTGTGCAATCCGTAGCTACACTATTAGCAGGAGGACACAAGGAGCTTGCAGTTATGCATGCATAATTAGGATAAGCGGTGAGATTTGGAGAAGTACAGAATGCGTGGATATAAAAGGAGAGGAGCCTGCAGGTAAAAAGGGGTGAGCAACAAGAAAAAGGAAAAGTAATCAGATGACAGAAGGATGAAATCTTTTCCCCACTTTCCTCTGGCACAAACCCTAGTCTGAAGAGTTACTCTGATTACAGAGACCACAGGACAAGCCATTCCATTTGGTGTTCCTGCCTCAGCCACATTGTGTGTGTTCTGCTGCTAGGCTGCCCTGCAGGCAGGCAGGGCTATCCTTGGGAATCTGGGGCACAGTTCTCTGTCTTGCCCAAGCAATAAGACTGTCAAGGTTTCCCTTGTTGCCTTAATGAGTTCCCAGAAATGATATGCAAACAGCAAAGCCCGGCCAAGGGTGAGAAGAAATTTTTTTACTGTGAGTCATATTCTGTATATTGAGTTACTTTCTGGCTGCAGGAGAGCAAAACCTTCACCTTGGGACTTAGAATGTGGAACTGCTGATTTTAAGCCTCTCTGTTCTGACTGTTAGAAGAAAATTATGCACCTGCCTCTATTTGTTTTGCCATCTCTTAAATTGACAGTAAGCTGCCTTTAGCAGGGGGACCAGCCTGTTAATTACAGTGGGCTTAATCTCTTCTAACTTTACATGTCCATAATACAGATTTCTATTCCCAATCCACTCCCATAATAATTCAGCATACAAAATATACGTTCCAACATCTACTTTAAGGCGCACTAAATTGTAGCTTGCAAGTGCCATTTACTATATAAAGAGCCCCTACAGTGATTAACTTGAGTGTAGCTACCAACCATCAGTTTGATTAATCTCCTTTCTCAATGCCTTCATGTAAAGCATCCCAGTAGATGATTCAGTAAATATGGTAAGTGACAGTTAAGCTTGAAGTGCTTCTTGCGAGGTTCAGGCCTGTACCTGCTTATGTTCATAACGTACTCAAGGAAGCCCCCTGCTGAAATATTGCCAAAGAAAACATGGGAGAAGGATGCTATAAGTGCTTACAGATCAGGAGTTGGCTGAGGGTGTGAAACATACTAGACAAGTACACAGCAACAAGGTGCTAGAAACCCATGCTATGTATGTCCTTCAGAAATGTAGTGCTGCTTCTAGATAAGATGCCTCTTGAAGGTGAAGTATGGTTTCACGTAGCTCTACGTACCTTCCCAGGGAGTAAAACATCTCCCTTCACACTTAACTTCCCATCTACTTTATCCAAAATCAGGAGGAACCAACAACGCACCATAGATTCTCTGCAGTCCACCCTCGATTCTGAAGCCCGGAGCAGAAATGAGGCCATTCGGCTGAAGAAGAAGATGGAAGGAGACCTCAACGAGATGGAAATCCAGCTCAGCCATGCTAACAGACATGCTGCAGAAGCAACCAAGTCAACACGTGGCCTGCAGACACAGATTAAGGTACTCTGAGAGCTGGGTTTCATACCAAAACAGTAATGGTGATGGTGATCAAGAGAAAAGCTACTCTCAAGCACATGCAGTAAAGCCCTTATGATCACAGTTGATATGAGAGAATATTGAGCAGTAGATTTCTTCCAAGACTTGCAGACAAAGGTGGGTGAGATACAGGCATGAAACCCTGCTGGCTACAGCCTCTTGCAGGGGCAGAGAGCTACAGCACGAGGTACTGAAAATCTGTGATTTCCTTGAAAGCCTGCAAATCTTTTAAAATTGGAGAGCAAACCAGTTGGCTGGAGTACAGAGAGTGTGTGTGTATGTTCAGTTTTCTCACCTGCTTCAACATTGGTAAATACTTCTGTCTTAAAAAGGTTTGAAAAGATAAGAGATATCTTAAGTCATTACCTGCCTCTTGTCCTTCCTGTGCCCATGCTGCCAGTTCTGCCTCAGGCACAAGTGCCAGCTCTTGACAGATCTCAGTTCAGGCTTTTCCCCTGTTGCACCACCTACCAGAAAAGCTCTTGAGATAACAGTCTAGAGGAAGCTTTTCTCCAATAAAGAAACACGGAACCTTTGGAGTGGGCCCCAAGTGATCTCTACAACCAATAGGTCCTTATATACACAGGGACCCAAAATGGAGTTAGCCTAGTAAAACCTGGCTTCTTTGTTCTAGGAGCTTCAGGTGCAGCTGGATGACTTGGGACACCTGAATGAAGACTTCAAGGAGCAGCTGGCAGTCTCTGACAGGAGGAACAACCTCCTCCAGTCAGAGCTGGATGAGCTGAGGGCTTTGCTGGACCAGACTGAACGAGCGAGGAAGCTGGCAGAGCACGAGCTGCTGGAAGCCACTGAACGTGTGAACCTGCTGCATACTCAGGTTGGCTTTTCCTGGGTTAAACTGAGCTTCGCCTGTTAAGCATTGACACTGTTCATCCATGGGCATCACGAGACAGACGCTCCCTGCATGCCTTCTGGTTAGAAAATGAAGGAGAGGAAATAAACCACTCTGCATATGTGCTCCCTCCTTCCTGCCAGGGCAACTGGAACTGATGGCTCAGCCAACTGCTTTAAGCAGTTCCCAGAAAACATGGATGGGTGATTACAAGCGCCAAGTTGTAGTTCTTTCCTTCTCTAGGTGCTATAAAACCGTAACTTTGTGCTTTCACTGGGCTGCTGCTGGGATGGAGAAGCAGACATGGTGTTTTTGCTGCTGTTACTCAGCAAATCAAACTGCAGAGCCTGGGTGTAGGCCTACTGTGCAGTGTAGCAAAAAGTACTCGACTACACCACAGGGCTTCGTTAAGAGAGGTCTTTGGACTTGAAGAGTCATGTAGGAACAGCTCTTGACTCACCAGCATTTTTGCTGCGAAATCCAAGCTTCTCGTCACCAAATACTGAATACTCAGAAGGGAGAATGAGCTTTTTCTGCTTTGATGACATGAGGCTTTTGTTCTAACCACCTCATTAACTAACAGATTATGGATCATTAGTTTTCCGAGTTGAACTGCCTTATCCATTCTTCTATTTCAGTCTCTAGCTTATTATGTTATCTGAATAAAAATCTGAATGTTTACAGCTTTGTGAGTACCCTTAACACCTCCTAGGCCTGAAGCTAGCTGGGTAGCAAAAGCCCTTACCACACTGCTGGGTCCCCTGAAATACTGCAAAAATAATTAAACCTTGGTGTGCTATGGTATTTAAAGAAGTCAGGTCTCCAATAATCACTTTTCCTCCTTTTCTGCTTTTCTTTTGTGGAAAATGTAATCAAAGAACACAAGCCTGATCAATCAGAAGAAGAAGCTGGAGGGTGACATATCCCAGATGCAGAATGAAGTGGAGGAATCAATCCAAGAGTGCCGGAACGCAGAGGAAAAAGCCAAGAAAGCCATCACAGATGTAAGTAGCTTAGTTCCTTGCTCATATTGTTTCAGCTCCAAAGTGTCCAAGGACAGCACAGCATTTTTTAAGAATGTTACAAACCTGACATACCCAAGTGCTCCACAGTGATCTGGAGGCAGCTGATGTAACTACAACATTACACAGGCTGGAGGTAAAAAGAGAGGAAAGAATTCTGTTTGACCAAGTTCATCTTATTTTTTCAAGAATGCAGATTCCACTGATCCTCAAAGTCTCAAGTCACATCACCTTTCAACTGGGTAAACTGTATATTTCTGTAGGATAAACCAGTTCAGATTGATCTAGCACTAACTGGTTGACTGGTCTACATAGAATCTGATACGAGAAACAAAATTACTGAGTCCAAAATGAGGTATCCCATAAATAGGTGTCTATTAGGAAAACATGAGGACAAAGATTCAAGAAGACAGAGTGCATTCTTCCTATCAGGAGAAGGACATCATTTGGATGTCCTTCATTAGAGTATACTTAATTTCCCACAGACCTGGAGAAACGCAGAGTTGGGCTGACATATCACATCATGGTGTGCATGAATGAAGCTATTCTTGTACCACAGTCTTCGCTTCTCAGGAGGCAGTGCTATTACTGCCTGCCAGGGAGAAGACACTGACTGTCCTTGATTCAACTCCAGCCTGGACTGCAGCAATTGCTGGCTTCCAGTGTCTGCTCAGTGATGGATACAAAATCTGTAAATGGCTCTTGGTAGCAGGGAAACATGTCAAATCAGAAAAGAGCTAATAGGCGTGCTTGTTACCAGCCTTGCAGAATGGCCAGGGACGATGACATAAGATGCTGAAACTGAGCTTCCTATTGCAGCATGCTACAGAAACTGCTGTGATGTTACAGCCACTCAGGAAGCTCTCATCTATGGCTGTTCAGGGAAATTTGCTTTCCAGTTGTTTTAATTTACTACCAAGACCCCCTAACTCCAATATTAGATTTTTTAAATAAACTCTAGTTGAAATGTCTGTTGTGAGTTGTACAGATTACAGGTATTGTAAATGAGGACATTTAAACATCATAGCAAGGAAAGGATTCTAAAACCAAACAAATAAACAACTAAAACAAACAACAACAACAAAAAACCCACCTTAAATCACAGCATTACAATAGAAAGGGGAAAAAAAAAAATCATATTCTCTCTGCCCAGGGGATATGTGCGGACATAAAATATTCTTTGGGGTTCTGGGTACAGTGAATGATCCAAGTAGTGGATGATTCAAGACAGATCTTTCATCAGGTTTTTAATGAGGCACAGTTCTGTGGCATAATAGAGGTGCTGTAAAGTTTGGTTGTTTTTCAGGCAGCAATGATGGCTGAGGAGCTTAAAAAGGAGCAAGACACTAGTGCTCACTTGGAGAGAATGAAGAAGAACATGGAGCAAACCATTAAAGACCTGCAGAAACGACTGGATGAAGCAGAACAAATTGCCCTGAAAGGTGGCAAGAAACAGATCCAGAAACTGGAATCCAGGGTAAGTTTGCAATCAAACTATAGTTCACTATCCCTTGTCTTATAGAACTGGGACTGGGTAGATGGCCTAGGGCTGCTTGGTAAGTTTATAGAGGCTGATAACAGATGCTGTGAATGCTTTCCTGTTTCACAGAAAGCAGGTGAACAGTTCTTGGAAACACATTTCCCTTTTATCATTCAGTTACAGTGAACTGTTGTAGCACAGCAGTTGGCCAACTTCCTCATTAACAAAATAGTGAAAATTTTAAAAAGGAATGGCACAACATCTAAAACTGGGAAAGGCCTCTGCTTGCTTCATTTGAACATTTTTTTCTCTTGCCAAAATTTCTATCGAGCATCTGGGTTTGTGTGGGATCTTTGACTGTTGGTTCACCTTAAACGCACGTAAGAAAAGTAGAATGGGAAGTAGAATGATCCATTTTTGAAATTCAGCTCTATTAAGATGTTGAGAAAATGAACAATTCTTGAACTGTGAAGTACATTATCCACTGCATTATACATATAAGGGCAAGAGCTTTTTCTTTTTTGCAGGTTCGTGAGCTGGAGAATGAACTTGAGAACGAACTCCGCCGCAACTCTGATGCCCAAAAGGGAGCCCGCAAGTTTGAGAGGCGCATAAAGGAGCTGACTTATCAGGTGACCATGGACTGCATAGCCACTAGGTCCCAGTGAAGCATAAAGGAGGGCATCACCCAGAGCTTTCTGATTGCAAGAAGCTTTATGGATGGGACGAATATCTTGTTAGGGCTACTATCATCTTGCCTGATTCACTGTAACTAATGGTACAATGAATGCTATTGCTGGGATTTGGATGGTTTTAGCATGGTTGTAAAATGGAGCAGGCTTAAATGATGATTCACACTGCCCAGAAGAATGCCCAGCTGTCTCTCAGCTGTGCTGATGTTGCTAAAAAGAGGATTCTGATGCATCACCAGGTGCCCAGTCCCAGAGCTCTGACACTCTGACACTTACCACAGGTTTACTAACAGCTGCTCATGCTGCTTGCCTTTCAAAAAAACAAAACCAAAAAAACTTCAGTACAGAGCACTGCCTCCCTGGCTTTTGACAGTACTCTTAAGATAATCCTATCCACCTGTTTACTCTATTATTTAATATCATATGTGTTGTTTTACTCTGACTTCTGTGTGCAGAGCCTGAAGGTTGCTAAGAAGGCACAGGCAGATAGAATTAACTGATCTGCTTGTTTATGGCCTGCAAAAGCTTAAAATTGGCGCATTTTACCAGAAATGCCTTCAAAACAGATTTTACAAAAATCAAATTACATATATTTTAGGCATGCCCATAGGCCTGTTTCACTCAATAATGACACACTCTATAACAACAAGTGCTTCTCACCCCCAAGCAAGGAATTTTCTGTGCATGTATAGGTATACATGATATAAATACACAAATACAGAGGCTACTCTCTTTTAGTCCCCAGCCTCCAAGATCTCACACATCTTCAATCAGCCTGCAGAATCTATGTGCAGGTTGACCTCAATATGACTTGTTCATACTTCAGACAACATGTTTGCAAAATAATATACTTACCAACTGTAATGACTGAAGTGTGGGAAATGCTTTTGGCCTTTTTTACACTATTAACTCAATTATTGGTGTTTTGGTACAGTCAGAAGAAGATAAGAAGAATCTGGCCCGAATGCAGGATCTGATAGATAAGCTACAGCTAAAAGTGAAAAGCTACAAACACCAAGCAGAGGAAGCTGTAAGTGACTATTTAGGTCTTTTTTTCCCTAATTGTGTTATCCAATTACTATTTGCATTTATATGAAGGCTGGACTTATAAATGTATTTACATATAAAATATATAGCATTTGCACTGATTGCTTTAGAAGAAATTACTCCATTTTATCTCAGAGAGTAATTTGCAGGATGCAAAGGGAAGGGAAGAACAGGAAAGACTTTTTTTCCTGATACTCCCTCAGGAGGTATGTTTAGAGCCTTCCAGTTCACTTAAAATGAAGAGTGCTGCTGGAAACATCAAATCCTTTCTTTGTGGAGGAACAAAAACCCTAACCACAATAAATAAATAAATAAAATAAACCACCAACCCTTGGCCCTTCAAGAGCCAAATGAGTCCCATAGGGCAGTTACTTAGCCATGCTGAGCCCTTTTGTTATATTTGAAGTGGAAAGCTTTGTTTCTTAGGGATTGGAGGTAATGGCTCTGCTGTTTTCTCTCACCAGGAAGCACAAGCCAATCTGTACCTTTCGAAGTACAGAAAACAGCAACACGATCTGGATGATGCCGAAGAGAGGGCAGAAATAGCTGAATCTCAAGTTAACAAGCTGAGGAGCAAGTCAAGAGATATTGGCATGAAAAAGGTATGGTTTTACTCTATGGGGCAAATGTGACTGGTCAGTACACAGTAGCCAGAAGTTTCCAGATCGTTTTACATATGTGATATTAAAAAGCTCAGTTTCTCCCTCCCTTTAATGATGTAGATATCTGTGTATGCAGTGGAGCTGGGGGATTATTGCATTAGCAGAATGCCAGTTATTCTAACAATGCTCTTTCAAAAAAACCTGCATTGATTTCAAAAGCTGGATGAAAATGTTAGGTGTTAGTCATGCAGTGTGATTAGTAATGAGAAATACATCTGTGATATTTTGCACCTGAGCAAAATGGTACAAAAGTAAGATTGATGAAACTGAAAGGTGCTACGAAATCAAATCTCTGCCTGACTTTACCTGCCTGATAGCAACCAGGAAAAGGGAGGGCGGTGTTGCTATTTGTAGGAATGTTAGAAGAGGAGCGGGGTCACTGCTTTTATTTGCTTCATTTGCAAAGGTAACACAGACTCCCATACTTATATAAATGTAGTGGAGCTTAAGCTCCTAAGTCAAGTAAGAGAAAATAAATCCTCCTGTATTATTTAGCTGTTTTTATCCCATTCCGTCCCATCACTTCCTTCATTCTTTTGTATCCACAACTCTATGGAAAGGAAATACTCCAATTTCTGCTTTTATAATAGACTATTACAGTCATCTTCAGCTGAAATAAACCACTGTAGATTCCCTGTCTAGAGTAGGGCTACATTAATACTAGATGAACATCTGGTCTTTTACACATTTACACACTTCCTTTAGGGAGAGAATGCCATAGGAAAGGCTTTATTTATAAGTATTTTTAGATTAGCATTAAAATTAGCTTCCTAATACTGCTACCCCTGTTCCTGGAAACTCTAGGAAGTATGTGTGATTCAGAGCAAACAACACTGTATTGTGACATGTCTGCACAGAAATCATCTGCTCTCAAAGGACACAAACAGTAGCATTAGGAGAAAAAGCCTACTCGCTGAAGAGAAAAGATTCAATATCTGTAGCATTTAGTGCTAGTCTATTTCAGCTATAAGCTGGTAATGCAAATAAGCACAAGCATTAGTGAATAGAAGTTTTTGTCATTTACTCGTGAACTTACCCTAAATCCCCTGCAGTGCTTTGTTTTTCAACAGCTATATACTTTCCCAATTGCATTTCAGGTTCATGAAGAGGAGTAAGCGCAGTCCTGGCTCACAGACACAAGATGATGTTTCATACAATCAGGCATAACCAAAAGCAGATGTGTTAAAACAAAACTAAAACAAGCACTTACAAAAATAAATATCAAGTGAAAACCAAAGCACAATGTATAGTGTATTCCATTCATTTCTATATAATTTCATTTTGTTGAGCCCCAGGCATCCAATAAAGGATTACATACTTCCACTAGCCCACTTCATTATACAGGAGCAAATCCTAATTGGCAGGTCTCTTGTGAAATCAAACTGAAGGGCAAATCCAGTCATGTTTTCCAGTCTCAGGGGACAACCCTTAAAGTCACAATAGCTCAGCTTCTAGCTGTCTTGTCTGCTGGTCAGGGGCTGTATCAGTTTTTTTAGGACAGCAGAAGCTAACCTTCAGACAAACAACCAGTTTAGAAGCTTCTCCTACAATTGGTCAAAGGATTTCTGGTCTCTAGCTGCAGGACAGAATTGCCTGCATTAGAAATAGTGTGGCCAGCAGGAGCAGAGATGTAATCATCCCCCTGTGCTTAGCCTGGTGAGGCTGCACGTCGCGTACTGTGTTTTGAGCCCCTCACTACAAGGAAGATATTGAGGCCCTGGAGTGTGTCCAGAGAAGGGCAACGAAACTGGTGAGGGGTGTGGAGCACAAGTCTCATGAGGAGTGGCTGAGGGAGCTGGGATTGTTGAGTCTGGAGAAGAGGAGGCTCAGGGGAGACCTCACTGCACTCTTTAACTTCTCGAAGGGAGGTTGTGATGAAGAGGGATTTGGCCTCTTCTCCCAGGCAATGAGCAGGACCCAAGGAAACGGCTACAAGTAGTGCCAGAGGAGATTTAGGTTAGACATAAGGAAGAACTTTTTCTCTCAGGGAGTGGTCAGGCACTGGAATGGCTGCCCAGTGAGGTGGTGGAGTTGCCATCCCTGGCAGTGTTCAAGAGGCATCTGGATGAGGAGCTACAAAATATGGTCTAGTGCTTGTGCTAGCAATGGTAATGGGAGGAGGGTTGGACTAGATGATCTTGCAGGTCCTTTCCAATCTTGTGATTCCATGATTGGCATCAGAAATGCTATGGAGGGACTTGTCACAAAAAAACTGCCCATGGCTCATATGTAGTGTTCTTTTAGATTTATTCCACTTTATATTTGGAATTACAACATTCAGTAAAGTGCAAAACAGTAAGTCCTCTCTTCCCCTTACAGTTAAAAACCTCAAAAAAAAAAACAACAACCCAACCCTCAAAAATTGATTTTCTGTGAAACCTTTCTGTTGTCCTTTTAATACACCCAAATTTCAGTTTTTCATGCAGACTGCTCACATACAAATGTCAGTTGACTTGCATATGTTTTTTTCTGTCTGCTTACTTGCTTGTTTCTGCTGCTCAGGTAATTAGCCATGTATTTTTCTCCAAGTGTGACTCAGTAGGAAAGAAGTCCTATTTTCTCCAAGCTTACTTTCAGCAACAATCACAGGAGCCTCTGTTTGCAGTGAAAGGGTTTCTTTTAGTATGTCCGGTCATTTCTTCTGCATCTCTGGTTAAAACAAAAACTTCTGTAAGAACTACTTATGAATCTAATTAATCCCAACAAGACTTTCTTGTGATAGAGGTAAGTATTTTCCATTTTAAGACTAGGGTGAGCAAAATAAATACCTACATGACAATGTAGAAGCATTCCTGTCTCTTCCCTCTAGTCCTCAATCAACGTCACCAGTGCTGCATTAACCCATATATTGTTCTGCTCCCTCTAAGTTAAAGGTCTCAACAAGTCCCAAGATAAATGGATAATGCTTAAGCTCTTTGAACAAAACAGCTTCATCTGCAAAATATGCTGACAGTATATTTATCTGCAGAGCTGACTACCACTGGGGAAGGATCTCTTTTGGAGATTCTTCCTCTTGGAGTCTTCTCAGTGAGCCCAGGACAAGGGTAAGCTTTCTAATCATCCTTCTTTAGTGTGATAACCTGTTTAGCCTAACTTTCCGGTATATTTCTTAATTATAACACCTGTACATTCATTGATTACACAACATCCAGCAGAATCTCCACGTAAGAGCAAAATGAAAAAAAAATAATAGAAATTCAATCATTTTGTAAGGGCACATAGCAAAAGGATGAGGGGAAATGGCTCTAGGCTGGAAGGAGGTGGACTTGAACTGGATGTCAGGAAGATGTCCTTTGCTGTGAGGGTGGTGAGACACTGGAGTGAGTTGCTCAGGGAGGTTATGGATGCCTCCTCCCTCAAAGTGTTCAGGACTGGGCTGGATGGGGCTCTGAGAGCTTCATCTGGTGGAGGGTGTCCCTGCCTATAGCGGAGGGATTGGAACTGGATGATCTTGGAAGTCTATTTCATCTCATTCTATGACTTTAGATTTGGCTTTCTGGTGTGCTCTTGTCACCTCACAGTTTCTGTTGTATAACGAAGTTTGAGGCTGTGACAAAAACCATAATGCCCAGTGAGTTCGAAGATGCATCTCTCCACAGATGGGGCCATACTGTCACACAGGACAAGATTTACCATAAGAAATAAGGGCTATAGCTGTTCTGGTTTTTTTTTTGGTTTTTTTTTTTTTTTTTTTAAACTGTGACCACGAAAGGAAAAAGACAAAATACTTTAAAACAGAGCCAGCCTTTTACAGATATGTAAGAATAAAAGGCATTACAGAATCACAGAATTCTCTGAGTTGGAAGGGATGCTTCAAGGTGATCTAATTCAACCTCTCTGCAATGAACAGGGGGGGCAATGAACACCTAAAGGATAGACCAGGTGCTCAGAACCCCGCCCAGCCTGACCTTCAATGTCTCCAAGGCCAGGGCACCCATCACTCCTCTGAGCCTTTGGTTGCCTAACCCACCTTATCATATCTAAAAAAAAAACAAAAAACAAAAACAAAAAAACAACACTTCTTCCTTATATCCAATCAAAATCTCCCCTCTTTTAGTTTGAAACCATTTCCCCTTGTCCTATCACAACAGACTCTGCTAAAGTTACCAGGAAGTATTTGTGAAGGATAATCTACTTTTTCATCTTTACACAGAGCAGGAGAGAGCAATCTGGTTAAGGGAAGGGCATTTTAACATAATTGCAACCAAAATATTGTAACCTAGAGAGCTTTCAGGACACAGAAAAGAAATGAAGACAATTCTCTTATGAAAAGGTTTACCATTCTATATTTTTAGTCTTTTTTTGCATGACTTAACCCATGAAAAACAAATTTATGTTTTGGTCAAACACTCAAGATCTAGATTTCAGATTAATGTTTTCAAAAATAAATCCACTTGTGATTGTACATACCTTCTTATTGAGACAGTATATCATTATACTGATGCTGATAACGGTAATGATCACAATCACTGTCACTATCGCTGTTGAGGTGTTACCTGCATGGTCTTTAAAAATACACATTTCAAAATGTTAAACAAAAGATTTTTATATTGCACATTAATGTTCACTATTTTTCAGTAAGTATACCTGAACTATGATTTTTCTCTTATTTATAATGCAAAACCCTTCAATTTAGAGGGAACATCTCAATTTCTTTTTAATGTCACTGATACAGTGGTCAAGTTACTTGACCCATGCAATAAGTGAAGGCTGTAAAGTGATACTTTAATGACTTGAGCATGAATAGCTGAGAGCATATTACTTTTCCTTAACTGTGCTGATAGAAAATCCAATGTTCTTGTAAGTTACAACCTGATAACTTATCAACTTCCTGGTGGTTGAATTTTGATGACCCTTGAAGTCCCTTCCAACCCAAGCCATTCTATGATTCAAATCGGCCTGATAAACACTGCTTCCAGGTACAGTGCTCAGTGCCATTGGCAGCACTACTGATTTCTAGTATGACTCTGTATTTTCCAGTCCAAACCACAAATCTAATCATTTCTCATACAGAATCTTCACAACTTCAATCTAAAATGCAATCCAGATGCATACCAAAAACAATAGATCCCCAAATGGGTGGTAACAATAGATTCCACAGGAGACAAAAGCGCATCTATGCATAATTGTTCTAAATTGTTCTATGCAGCACTAAGCATTTCCTTACTTCAGCTCCTTTCAACAATAAGAGAACACTCACGTTTGGAGGACTCTATCTTTTACATGTGGTTCTATTTTAGGCTTCACTTCTTCTGCTCTGTCTTGTCCAGGAAAAAAAAAAAACAAAAACCCTGAGAAGTTCCTACACTTAGCTCTAAACTGTGGGCATTCAGCTTACGGTTTAAGTGAGAATATCCATAGCAGAGCACTCACAGCTATGCTGAGACCACTATCTATCATATTAAGCCAGATCATTCCCTTATCTGCTTACTCTGTTTTCAGCCTGGGCTGACACGAAAATGCTCATCAACTTGGTAAATGTTTTTCTTCTTCTGTATTATGTATTCCTGGCCCAAAATTAGTAAAACATGAGCAGCACAGTAATTTAGTCTCTAAATGAGGAGATTGGTGTCTCTGTGGCTACTGTGAGATCCATCTGCAGCGTAGCCAGATAAAAAGCAGCTGAAGAGGATAATCAAGGTCATATCTGCATTGGAAATGCGTGTGTATCTCTCTCCTATAAATGTACAGGGAGACTAACATAGTTGTGCGTGTGTGTTAGGAGCATCAGTCATATGTGTAACACCTTGGACGTGTCCTATACTCCCCACTTCAGAAGCACACTATCACATCTACAGGATAAGGAAAATAATGCTGGAATTTATGAGTTTCAAAGAGGTATGTTTGCCTGACTCTAAATTTTTACTTAAACTAAGCAATCTCCTTCATATCATTTATAGTCAATGTCATTTAAAGCATAATTTTTCAGTTGTAAATTAAGCTACCACGGGGGAAGACAAATGTATGCAGTTACTATAACTTAGTCAGTTCCCTTTTATGCTGTGCTGCCTCTTTTTCACACCCCATCTATTTGTGTCAAGTTCTTTTCTTAAAAAGCTATATGAGGTATCTATATGAGCTTTCTCAGTCTTTCAGGTGATTGCATTTAATTGACTGTTGCCTATGTGCTACTCTTTGAATGTGCTGGGTTTTTTTTCCCCTTTTTTTGAATTGAAATTTAAGGAGGCACCATCCCAAACAGCACACCACTTTTGAAAAACATTTTGCACTACAATATTGGAAAGCTGGAGTCAACTTTTAACCTCAAGAGTCTCAGTGGACAGAAGAGTTAATCAGTAAGTTTACTTGAAGCCAGAGACAAAATAACTGTAACTAAGACTTCACAGCTGGAAGTTTATTACAGTTAATAAAAACAAAGGCATGCAGAAATGCATATACATTTCCAAGTCTTAGAAAGGCCTACTGTGTAGAATTAAACCTTTGACAATAACAACCATGTTGTTCTTCTCAATGAGGTTTCTTCTGCAGAAAAAATACATACCACATCTCTAGGCTTGCCTTAATCTCCTTCCTACTGCTAAAAGGCTTTATTTGCTATTGACACAGCACTTAGTATACAATTGTCAGTTTCTTTATGCTCTTGACTGCACAACCCTCTGTGCATAGAATGAGAGGAAAAAAATAACACAGATCCTTAAATATATCAGTGTTTTTCACCTGGGACAGTAATCATGCATTGGCTCTTCCTCTAACCAGTACTTATTATAAAACATTATTTTACAGATT